TGTCAGCCCATTCAAAGCCTCCATATGGTAACGACTGAGACATTGCCCAACCATATTGGTTGTTTACATCATAATACATCAAATATGAGTCTGGCTTTGATGAATTATAATTAGGCATGTACTTGTTGTTTGCTTGAGCTCTTCGTTTAGAGCAAACTTGGCTCAATCCTCCTCGGATACCTTGCTCAACAAATAGAAACATGTCTACATCGGTAAGCAGTTCCAACTCTTGCTTTGTATGCTTCAGCATGGCGTCCCACGTGAACCCTGGTAGTGTGAAATAATGAGCAGGATCGAGACCATAGGTGTTGTGGCAGCTGGATCGAAACTGCTCAAAAACATCGGCTAACAGCATAATGTCCGTTTTCATGTAGAGGTCAACATATTGACCCAAGTCTTTACAGCCAAATTTCGACCATACCAGCTTGGCGTGAAGGTAGTGTCTACGGGGGCATGGCTTGTCATACAATTTACTGTAAAATGACTCTATTGGGGGAAGCTGAGTTTCATCGAATCTTTCGAATGAGTCGATATAATCGTAGGGCATCACTCCTTTTTTAGTTAACAACTGGAGCTGATCATTGGAAATATTAGAAAATTGTGATTTTAAATTTGGAAATTCCTCCAGATATGATGCCAACATATCTAGAGAAGAGTTCATGAATCGAAATGAGTCAATGAAACGAAACTGAATGGAAGTATCATCAACATGTTTCGTGAAGGATATATATTTCTCTTTAGTGATTGGTAATAAATCGATTTTGCCCTTCATTTTGGATGCAATATCCTCGATAATAAAATTTGCATCATAACCACTCAAATTGTGAAACACAACTGGCACCACATGGCTGTCTTGGTATCGAACGTTGCAGCTTTCATGCGCAGGGCCTCTATAGTTGTTTTCGGGAATCAGGTGATTATGATCACGAACTTTCTTATCGGTAGGTCCAAAAGGCTGTTCGCAAATATGGCAATGTTTAGCTCTTTGAAACTCAACTTCCTGCTCAGTAGTCATAGTGATGTTATATGGACATAAAAATACCGTAGACATATCCTCAGCCAACTGGTTGAGCTCATCAGCGAACCACGCCATACAGTCCTGCCCTCGGTACGAACGATAAAAGGAGAGAGAATCGTCGTAGGAACATTTCATAAAGTAACCAACGGCAGCTGGAACGTGGTGCTGAGGCTTCTTCGGATCTCCCGTATTCTCCAGAACAGACTCCAAATCAGCATAAACTATGAATGGGGCCTTCTCCTTGTTTTTATGATTTTTAAATTTCAGAATGTTTTTCCCCTCCTCAGGCATTCTGATTGCGGTCTCATTTATTTTCAAGCAGCTCTCAGTATGTTTGATGAGTTTATCTTCAGAATAGAAATAATGAAGACAGCGGTCGCAGAAGAACTTCTTATGTCCATCTTTACTGAGCTGAGAAGAAAGAAGTCTGGACAGATCCTTTATCCAGCAATAATGGTACTTGGTGGGGGATGTTTCGCAAGCATCTTTCTCATCGAAGTAACGATCCTGAATGAGTAGGAGATTGACGTGTCTATCTTTCTTTTCCTTTGTTAAGTATGTGGGCATTGTCTGCAAGTTTTTCGATGCCTTTTGTAGGATATATACATTGACCGATACCCCATTCTGCTTCTCGAACCGAGGAATCTGTTTGACCGTCATAGGAAACTGAATGCCCTTGAGGTTGAGAACTGCAGACGGATGGGGGTATGAGCTGGACCTATTGACATTAATGTTAGCGGGATACAAAGCAGACGTCACAGCCCACCCAAAGCATAAATCATCTTCGTTTTTGACGTTGATGCAAGCTCCTTTGTGCTTAATCTGCGGTGGCAGCTCAATGTATGAAGATCCAAGTTGAGGTGTAAACTTGTTGATGTTCACCCCCAGATTGATGATATTTTTAAGCGCCCATCCGCTGTCACGCTCTTGGAATTCCTCTAGCTCCGTCAAAATTGGTGCGGTAACTTTTTCGTCGAACCATACATTTGAATCGGTATCCTTGTAGATAGGGGAGTTTGATGATGTAAAGTACTTGTACTCCCTAAGTACACTATCTCCCTTCACCAGCTCAAACTCCCCGCAGAAAACAGTATTCACCTTGATTGCAGCATCATTCTTGAGGGCATTCTGAATGCGCCGGCTGAACAACGCTCTGCAATCGGTCAAGAAGGCTGCAGGATCCTTATGTTTTAAATTCGAGATTACTCCAGTTCGAATTCGACTCTGGAAAGCAGACAGAGAATCTTCCCAGCGAACTCGATGTTTAGCAGTTTCCGTTCTTGTTATAATGCCAGCCCCCTTCTTCTGAAGTGCTTTAAACTGGTTCCGCAAACTTCTGATATTCCGAAGACAGGCTTCCAGGTGTTGCTTCTCACCGAAAGTTGTTGAATTCTTCAAAGCCCTATTTAGTCGCTTTATCCCCTTCTGGCATTCCCGCAATCCTTCCAGTACGACTTTCTCATCATAATTTGGAGTTAGAAGCCCCAAAATGGATGCGATATGCTTAACCAAATCGGCAAACAGCGCCATTTTTTCACAACTGGAAAAATAATAACTCTAATTGACACACAAAAATACGTCTACACTCGAGCGGGGTCAGTGATAGAATGCGATAGTTGAACTAAGTTTGAGCATTCAACCTTCTCAGACGCATGCGCATATCACTCTTTTATTTCGGATCTATCCTTGTCCACGCATGCGCACTCATACACTTTAAAACCCATACGCAGATTCTTTCTATGATCTTATATTTGTAGACAGATACACAGTAAAAAAAAAATAGAGTGAACACCCGTTCCCCGGAGGACCACTAAGCTTTTGAGTAAATGTATAGTCTAGTATATTAAAGTGTAATCTTTTTAATTAGTGTACTCACTCTTTATCTTTCTAAATATATTGAATAAACACAAAGAGTTGAAAGAAACAATATCGATAGTGAACATCCTACTCAAGACCCAAGCTAGTATCAATATCACTTCAGAGTGAAATGCAATAACCGAATATTACATGGTCACAAAAGTTGAGAGTTGGGAATATAATAGTACAGAGTCGATTTCACACTATAAACAGTGTCAGATCCACCGGAAAAATGATTAATCACTCTACGTGGCTCCTGTATCGTTCAAATTAACTATGTGTTTGTTATCACCCATTCATCATTTTAGATTGATATAAAATATTAGTTGAGTAAACTACTTACTGATGAGATTTCATCCAAGTTAGATTGATTTATGTTTCACATGGTCACAGTATTTATAGGAATCCGACAGACGTTCAGCGGCGAAATGTAGGCAGTCTCCGCAGCGCCACCTGCATGCAGTGACGCGAATTGACGGATGAGAAGTAGTGTGATCATATAATATTTTTGATATTTCGAAAAATGGCCACTAGACTAATTAATTAACTTATAAATAATAATTCGAAACGGGAAAATAACTGAGATAGGTATACGGAAATATCTATGTTAATATCTAATATAGTAAAAATGCTACTCGAAGCTAATATCATGATCATCGACACTGTCATCATTATTACTTATTTCACAATCCAGTAGATCATTCAACATCCAACTGTCTTAAAGAGTAGGCATGGCTAATATTTGTGAGCGCTGTCATCAGCTGTGTACTGTACGAGAACTTTGTAATAATTGTTTTATAATAGAATGCCTCAATAGTGGAGAGCGGATTGCTTTCAACATCAATAACACCTGGGAAAGTTTTAAAAAGAGAAAATTTCCCTATAAGCTATTGTGTGATAAATGTGGAAAATTCTTGACGAGAACTGACATGTACCGCCATATGAGGAATGTTCATCACTCCTGTTAATGAATAATCTCCGATTATTCATCGGACTGATTAGGCAATTGCGTTCACATAAATCATTTGATCATACGTACAGATGCCTACAGATCGCGCCTACAGATGCCAACAGATTCCTACAGATGCCTACAGATGCCTACAGATACCTACAGAAGCCTACAGATACCTACAGATGTATTCAAGAGTCTTCAGTTGTATATCAGACACCATAGCGTTCACATCATGGAGCCACATTCATCAGAGCAAGCATTAGATAAATATCACTGTGCAGATTATGATAATGCTTATGGACCGAAATATGTTGACGGCAGATGGACACTTGGACATAAGAATCTACGCTTTGAGGACCAATACATAGGCGTAGATAATGTCGATTTTAAAAGTACTCTGGGTCTTTTGGAATTATTATTTTCCAAGAACCCTCGAAATTACACGCCTCTGGATCACCAGATGTATAAACAGATACTGGAAATCAGCTCTATTCATAGAGATCGAGTAGGGCGATTACGAGGACAAGCTGATAAGGAGAAATTCGATAAAATTATCAGACCCCTCTTCAAAAATAAGACCAAGCCTAAACGTCCAAAGTCGAGCGTGGAGCCTGAAGCCAGTATTGGGAATGAAGAGTACAATATTTTAGATGAATGGACAGATCCGAATATCTTGGTGGATAGACTGAGATATTTAATGGAATCAGATAAGAACAACAACGAGATTGCCTTTATTCTTACTGAACTTGAAAATGTTGGTATAATATCTAGGAAATAAATGATGTCAAAATTATCCGTTTTTTATTCAACACCTGCTAGACATTAGGGCAAAAAATGTCGGAAACCCGTCCTCATATAATATATAACAAGATATGTTCTGATCTTGATACCACTGATCGATCAATACATCTGTCATGACGTCATCATCTTCCACATCTAATTGCCCGATTTTCTTTACAGCTTTTGATCTATGAAAGAATAAATTTTTTTCCATTGTGTAGATTGACTGACATTTCACATTATTTATTTTTGTAATATAGCTTGATCTAAAAAACATTCGAATAACGAAAAACAGTGTAAAAGCCTTTCTAGTTTTTGAGCCGCCCGGTATACCAATAACAGAAGATTATCTATGCAAAAACATCTAAATGCAACATAGGCCTGTTGTAGATTATGGTTAATGATATCTGCATGGCTCATTTCCAGCGTGATAAGAGTCCGAACAGCTGTTTTTGTTTGAATAACATAAATAAGAAGTTGGATGGGAACGTTAAGACCACTCATGTATGTTGAGATTATACCTACTCATTACTAGTTCATACCCACAACTCATATTATTGCTTGCTTATATTCTGTTTGTTCTGATTTCGAAATATTCTACAGGTTACACTCGATAAAAATAATAATAAAATTAATAATATGATGCGAAAGCTAATATATAAGGTGTCTCAAACACAACGTAAGGTATTTGAGGGCAACACTTTGAGGAAAAAACTATACAGGGTGTTTCTATATCCTCACTATATTTTTTGAAATGGAACACTGATATTTGATTCGTTTTCGCGATAGAGGGCGTTGCATAAACTTTTTGAAATAATATTCACGATGGCCTAATGAATGCTCTGTTTTGAAAAAACAAAAAATAATTTTCTCTAAAATTGTTCTATCTTTCATTCGGTTACTCCCCCTAACGAGCAACCCTCAGAAGTCTTCAAGAGACTTGTGCGATCAAGGAATGACGGGGACCTTATACCTTTTAAAGTGTGATTCCAAAACACTTTCTTTGGCCATCAGAAAAATTTCTATAATCGCTGAGAATCGAACCCACGGCCGGTAAGCGAATGCTGATTATCAATATTGACACTCTATTCGCACGACTACCCGGCTGATATTTTCAAGAGGAATGGCTGATTGAAACATTAAAGCGACCAGAACGAATAGAAAAGCGCTATAGGAATATAAAAACTTACTTTTCTTCAAGATAAAAGGCGCAAGCACTAAATTATCAATTGGTGCTGAACACTCTTCAAGATACTCGAACACTCGATCGAATGATTCGTCTAGATACGGCTAGCACATTTTATACTCTCGAGCTATTCAATTTTTTGCATTTCCAGCGAATGTTGGCATATGACTGCAGATAACAGCAATTTAAATTTTTCGCATTTCCAACGAATGTCGGTATGTGACTACAGATAACAGCAATCTATGGATGAATATCGCCGGATATATATATAGGGAGATATTCAGGAAGTATGTCAAAGCAATGTTTATTAATCATAATATGCCAAGGTTTATGATGAAATAATCATTATCTATTGGTGTAAAATGCATAAACCACCGGTGCATCGTTATCTTTTATATATTCAAGTAATTGTTTGGAAAAAATAAAATGAAAAACGATGGATTATTATATAGGATAGGGTATACAAATTAGCACTTGGATGAAATAATCCACGATAAAACTGTAATATTATATAGGGTAGAAACAACGAGCACTAGAGGATGAATCATTTACAATTTCAGAATAATCGTTGACACTTGATTGAATTATTTTTTTCGAAAAAACTCTGAATATAATGGAAAAGGACTATAACATATGCAGGACTGAGGATGAACACTTGAATTGAAACAAAAGGCAGTTATTGCTATTGTTGTTGTTGGTTCGAAAAACTCGAAATGGGAAAACTATGAAAGCTTCATAAAAGAAATTAGCACTTTGATAAAAAAAGGTACTTACTATTTTTGATGATGCACGCACACACAATATAGCACTGACTGTTGTTCAATGAGCTGCTGCTGCGATTCGAATGAATGTTAGAGCGTTGCGACATTGGTTATATAGGCAGAAAGATATGTCCGGGGAAAAGGGGATACTGAACGCGCGCGATATGTGAATAACATTCGTTATTTTCTGCGGTTTTACTCACCACGAAAAAAACCAAATAGAACACAATATCTACCCACATTTGCCGGATATCTCTGAACTTATCTGAAATGTTGGAAAAAACATATGACCACATGTACAGGATATTCTCGACCTTATCTAAACTGTTGGAATAACAATCAACCGCAAAAACAGGATGTTCTCGCTACAATCTGAATCGTTGGAAAAAAACAGCAACCGCAATCGTATGAGACTTCATCATTATCGCAGGAAGTTACCAACCAAATCTCAGTGAATTCTAAACGGAAAATATGCACAACAAGTTGATTATATTCGATTTTATTTCTTCATGAAAAATAACTGAATGATATTTATCAGAATTATCACGACTATGAATGCTAAATTAATATTCGATATAATATTCGATGATGTGACGAATTTTTCGTGGTCCACTGGTGTTGGGGATGTCGGAATAATTGTTGTTGATGTGTTTTCGAAAAACTGCCATTGTCCTAGCTCCCCAAAAGTCCTATCATCGAAAATCAAACGAATTCTATATTTCGTTGCGTTTTTCGGCACTTGTATTGAGAATACTTCCATCCGACCATCATTGATGTACCCTCTTCTCATACCAATCCACTGACATGATCGATTATTGAAACAAATTCCCGCTTCGCTAACTTTGTTCGGCACATTCATGTACAATATATTGTTCATAATTGCGAACAGCAATACGTATGTTGCTTTCAAAATAGCCATATTTTTTTCGTAGTTTGCTGCGTTGTAGGTATGCGTCGAGTTTTGATAGCGTCTTCTAATAATGTAATTCTCGAAAAATTTCTAATGATCAGCTGCTTATCCTCGTAATGTTTTATTGTAGCTTCTAGTTCTTTTATTTTCTTCTGGAATTCCTGCAACTGACGTTTGTACTCTACCACAGACATTGGAAGACTGTCGCAAAACACCCAACTACCCCATTTTTATGTCTTGATTTGCATGCGCACACGCAAAAGCAAAAATGTTTGCATACCCTGCACACCATTCCATCCACTTGGTCCCCCTTCACATATAATGGAAAAGAGTACAAGTACTTTACTACCTCAAACTCACAAATCTACAAGGATACCGATTTAAATGTATGGTTCGACGATAAAATCCTGAAGCCAATCTTGACGGAACTGGAGGAATTTCCAAATTTAAAATCACAATTTTCTAATATTTCCAATGATCAGCTCCAGTTGTTAACTAAAAAAGGAGTGATGCCCTACGATTATATCGACTCATTCGAAAGATTCGATGAAACTCAGCTTCCTCCAATAGAGTCATTTTACAGTAAATTGTATGACAAGCCATGCCCCCGTAGACACTACCTTCACGCCAAGCTGGTATGGTCGAAATTTGGCTGTAAAGACTTGGGTCAATATGTTGACCTCTACATGAAAACGGACATTATGCTGTTAGCCGATGTTTTTGAGCAGTTTCGATCCAGCTGCCACAACACCTATGGTCTCGATCCTGCTCATTATTTCACACTACCAGGGTTCACGTGGGACGCCATGCTGAAGCATACAAAGCAAGAGTTGGAACTGCTTACCGATGTAGACATGTTTCTATTTGTTGAGCAAGGTATCCGAGGAGGATTGAGCCAAGTTTGCTCTAAACGAAGAGCTCAAGCAAACAACAAGTACATGCCTAATTATAATTCATCAAAGCCAGACTCATATTTGATGTATTATGATGTAAACAACCAATATGGTTGGGCAATGTCTCAGTCGTTACCATATGGAGGCTTTGAATGGGCTGACACTAATATCGACGTCACAGCTATTCCTGATGATGCTGATAAAGGATGTATTTTGGAAGTCGACTTGGAGTATCCACATCGCCTCCATAATCTACATAAAGACATTCCTTTCTGCCCTGAACACATCAATCCAAAGACGATGAAGCCTCCAACGAGATCATCTCAGCCTACCAAGTTGATGGCAACGTTAAATCATAAGGAGAAGTATGTCATCCACTACCGCACCTTGAAACAGGCGCTGAAGCATGGCCTAGTGTTGAAAAAGATTCACCGAGTACTCAAGTTTCGACAATCCCCATGGCTTAAATCCTATATTGACCTCAACACCAACCTCCGTAAACAGGCAAAAAATGAATTCGAGAAAAATCTCTTCAAACTCATGAACAACGCTGTTTTCGGGAAAACGATGGAGAACATTCGTAAGAGAGTCAACGTTAGGCTTCTGACGGAGTGGGCGGGGAGATATGGCGCTGAGTCGTATATTTCCAAACCCGAGTTTAAGAACTGTATCATTTTCAATGAGAACTTGGTAGCAGTTGAGCTCGGGAAATTGGAAATCTGGCTGAATAAGCCCATATACGTCGGTCAAGCCATTCTCGATCTCGCCAAGACTACCCTATATGACTTTCACTACGACTATATGGTTCACACATTCCATGCAACGCGCCACAAGGCACTACCTCGAGGGTGGTGGGGAAATGTGCTGCTATTTGTATAGTTTATTGAATATATTATAAACATTTTCAACACTGTGTTTGATTTCAATCCTCTGGTGTACCCCCATAGTCACATATCGGTGATCCTGCCAACGATTATCCGACATACGTCATACGTCAGCTATCTGTTTGCTAAGCCCATCTGAAGTGTGGTGGTCTACTCATGAGTCGCCTTATTTCTTATCGCTGAAAAAACGTCGAAAAAGCGTCACGAATCCGTCACGTTTTTGTCACGCTTTTTCAACGCTTTTTTCACGTTTTTCAACGCTTTCCAACGCTTTTCAACGCATGCGTGACGAAAACGTGACGGTTTTTTGACGCTTTTTCCACTGGAATGCCCTTTTTGCAGCTCAAACACCTGATTTTTGTTCAGTGCATTATGGAGCACTCTGTATGTTGTTCCGTGAAGAGCGACATCATATATTTTTATTGCAGTTTAACTCTGTATTATTTTTTCGATCCATGAATTATGGGTCGTCCTGTATATTTTTTACTATTCAACTCAAACATGATTTTTTCAGCCTGAATACCTCAGAATACTTCTATAGGAAGACGAGTTTTGCTAAAGAGTTGTTTGACATATTTCAAAGTGGACGGTAAAAGAATGTTTTTACTGGGTATAGGTATGCTGAGTTCGCCTGATGTCTAATATTATCATTATAAATATGGAGAATTTCAAGACTCTGACTATGTTTCTGTATATAGAAACTGTCATTCGATCGTTTGTTATCTACCCCGGTCATATGCTGTCATGTCATCTATCATCCATTTGATTGAATTACATCATGATTGGGTTCATGGTAGTTCTATAGTTTGTTTTTCATAATTATTTGAATGAGTGGCAATAAATTTTAGATTTTTTTTCTACCCCCTGTATATGTTTTCAAATAATTCATTCGACTCGAGTTTTATGACTCATTCTGTATATGTTTCTTGAATATTTAATCCACCCTACTTATTCTGCTCATCCTGTATATGTTTTTTTCAGTCGAATCAGGTTTCTCCAATCGCTTTGTATATGATGATATCCTAGAAAAAGTACGTAGATCTGTGGAAAAACTCTGCTTTGTTTTACGCAGTCACTTATGGGACGTAACTTGTAATTTCCATAGAATCTAGGGAAAAATTAACTCTTTCGCTTTCATAAAATTCATAAGTTGTACTAAACCTGGATATCTGTTTTCGATAAGCGTCGGAAGGTTACGTGTCATACATCTCATCTGTCGAATAGTATAAATGTCATCTGTCATACTTTAGTTGTTGAATGTCTGAATAATTCGATTTTCATTCTACAACTTCACCACCCTGTATCTCAGAAAATGGAGCAATTTCGGACTGAGTAAGTTCCTTTAATCCAATTGAATTTAATTGATCTGCCCTATACATGTTTGTATTACTATTTGAAAGCCCTGTATATTCAACGGACTCTAGCGAGTCATCTGTCATACGTTAATATGTTCGCTGGGTCCGCCTGTCAGTTCTTGCCTCCCCTGTATATATTTTTATTTGCTATCCAAACCCCCTGTATAATGATTGGAATCGTCAACTAGCGACAACTGTCACACTTTTGCTGAGTCCAACTTTCACTTGTTGCAACGAGTGCCCTATATAAGTTTGTATTGCTATTATTGCTGTATATCGAACGGATACTATATCATACGTATGTTTACTACCCCGTGAGACGCCCTATTTCTTATCGCTATTGCTTACTCAGACACCCTGTATATATTTTTATTGCTATCCAAACACCCTGTATATATCATGTTATAGCGGGTAGCCTATATGCTGGTAGTCTACTCGTCCAGGAGGTATAACGCCTTTTGGGTTCACTCTATATATTTTTTCCCCAACTATTAGCCAACTCATACACCCTGTATATAGCCATTATTGGGTGAAAAATGTAATGGAATGCGCACCGTTATCTCTAGAACGGATCTCTCGCTTTGCTCGCCGTCGGAGCCGGATGACCTTGAAGTGGCCAAAAATGACCAGAATGAACCTTAACTTTTCTTATGGAGATTTACATGGGAAAAGTGACGTTTTGATTCCAGAACTGGTACAGCTCCTTTACTCATAATATATCCATTATTTTTTCAGGAATATTCACTTTGACCATACTCCCTATTTTATTTCCTGCAGTGACGTTCAAGAGCAAAAAGCCTGCGAACCATTGGAAACCCTCTAAAATTGAGGTGAAAAACGGTTTTATTCTACATGTTAAAGTGAGTACCTAACTTTATTTCTAGTTTATAATTCTTTCGAATTCACTTATCTAAAGTGCACATACAGGGTTTTCAAACTTAAGTCGGCACTCTTGCTAACTCGGTTGTTATTGGAGGACGGTCAAATGGACAAACTAGTAGTATTTTTTCCGCTGATTACGATAATGAGAACGAAACAAAAATCTAACATTGCGTTAATGAGTTATGTCAAGAAGTTAAATTTTTCAGATGGGACACCCATTACACAATATTTTTTATCATGAACGTTTCTCCTGAATTCAAAAATGACTACACAAATACACACAACTATCGACGTTTTCTTCTTGCTTCATGGTGAAGTAAAGTTACGATATGTATGTATAATACCTCGACCATCCTCGACTAACACAATAACTATGACAAATTTAAAAAAATCATCAACAGCTTAGTCATTTTTTAATTCACGATGAAAGATTATGGGACAGTTTTTGTTCAGAATCGAATTTCCTATCGATTAGAAAGTTTTTATACTGGATGTCCTATTTAAAGAGATATTACCTTTAGACAGAACTCGTGAACGCGATGTTCGATTTTTTTTTCGCTTTCATCATCGTAATCAGTGGCCAAAATACTACTAGTTTGTCCATTTAATCGACTTTGTAGCTCCAATAATAACCAAGTTAGAATTAGTGCCGAAGTTAAAAAACCCTGTATTTTGGAATTCATCTAATAAATGTACAAGCCGTTTTTAATGTTACATTTTTATACATTATTGAAGTATACTGGGTGTCAACAAATCTATTAGACAAGTCATAACTTCTAGAATATTAAATGAATCAAAAAATCGTTGATATTATTATAATTATTATTACTATTGAATACCTTATGTTCTAGAAGTTATGATGACTGGTCAAATATATTCGTTGACACCTGATATCAGTTTGTATATAGGTGATATGAATATGGAATCAATTATTTTTCCAGGAATTTTCTGATCTTGAGAATGAGCTCACGATACTAGCTCAAAGATATGAAACATTTGGACTCACAGCTCAACCAATCCCAGTGATTGTTGGAGAAAACTTGAACGGGTCAGAGTATTTTGTATGTGTTGGCAACCTCAAATACAAAGTTGACATTGTGCTGAAGGCAGTTGACTTGTGTTTTAAAATATATTTCGCTACCAATACCCAGTATCCAAAGGAATGTGAAGCAGCCTCGATATTCATCCAGTGGTATTTATTCGATATTAAAACATCTTTCGATAAAAGGTATGCTTCAGTTTCAACACTGATTTCTGAAATTGAGCAGCGGAACTCAAATTAATGTAACTTGTAGGTACCAATATTTTTTTTTTCATTATTGAAAATCAAAAGACCAAAATGAGCGTTGAATGCTACCACTGCCAAGACACCTTTTTGAGCGCCAGAACTTTTTTTATCATTTCAAATTGAACCATAATAACAATCAATCCTTCCACTGTGGAGCTCTCAACTGCTTCAGAATATTTTCGACACATAAATCATTTGAAAAGCAAATGAATCGTCATTTCAGTTCTATCAATGATTCACTTGATGATCGTCTCAGTAAAAAAATTGAAAAGTTGCCAGTATTACCCGTTACATCAGATTATTCTTCAAATCAAACAGAAGAAGTTTATATCAGTAATGTAAATCAACATGTTGATAATCGAATAGATTTGAAAAACATTCAAAACTTAGTATTTTCTGACCTTAGAGTATTTTTATCCAAGCTTTATAATAATTCTTTATTGACACGTAATGCTATCCAAACCACATTGGAAGATATCCAGCATTCATTTTGTGAAAATATATTTGACTATTCGAAGAGCTCATTGAAATTTTTATTTCCTGAAGAACAGAGAATTCAGTCTCTGTTTTGTATTTTTGAGGAAGTTTAGAGAATATTCTCAGATTTTGGAACAGAATACGAAAGGTTTAAATTCTTTAGAGACAGTGGTGAATTCATACCTCCCTTAGATTATAAGATAGGAAATAGAAATAATCATGTTGCCGACAAAGCCCAAAACAGACCAATGCAAAGATTGATCAGTAAGCCAGTTATTGGAAAAATCATTCCTTCAAGGGAAGTATTCAAAGTTTTTTTCGAGAAACCAGGTGTTTATGCCAATATTCAAAATAACTGCAAACAAATTTTAGATTCCAAAACTTCAGTTGATTTTATACAGGATGAACTATGGAAAACTAAATCATCTAGTTATTTGGAATCTGGCAAAATTGTTTATCCATTATTTTTATACTTTGATGACTATCAAGCTGGAAATCCCTTAGGTTCTCACTCTGACAAAAATAAGTTAGGTGCCGTTTATGTAAAGATTCCCTGTTTTCCAGAAGAACTTCTCTCGTCTTTGAATAACTTATTTTTGTTTGCACTGTTTCACTCCAGTGATAGAAAAAAATATGGAAATAAAGCAGTTTTCAAAGATGTCATCTCAGAATTGAATTTCTTGCAAGAAACGGGTATTGAAATTGTGGTGAACTCCATGAAAATACAGACATATTTCAAATTTGGATCAATAATAGGAGATGATTTGGGAATTCATTCTATGTTAGGATTAACCGAGAGCTTTTCTGCAAACTATACTTGTAGGATGTGTAAAGTACATAAGAGGCAACTAAAGATTTGTACTAGCTTGCCTGGAAATCTATTGAGGACAGTTGACTCGTACAATGATGATCTTTCAAAGAATGATGTCAGTTTGACAGGAATTAAAACATAATGTGTTTGGCACTCATTAACTGATTTTCATCTGACCTCAAATTATGTAGTGGAAATAATGCATGATTTATTTGAAGGTGTGTGTAATTACGACATCTCTGATTTATTGAATGTATTGATTTTCGATCTCATACTTTTTTCATTAGATGATTTTAATAATAGAGTTCATGGTTTTAATTATTGTGATTCAGAAAAGCGTAACAAACCACCTCTGTTATCTGTTCAGAATGCAAGAATACGATTGAAGTTTTCTGCATCAGAAATGTTATGCTTTAGTAGATATTTGGGGCTGATGATAGGAGATCTCATTCCCGAAAATTTGGAGATTTGGAATGTTTGGACTAAATCACGTGAAATTATTGATATTGTCTGTTCTCCAGAAGTGCTCTTTTCTGAAAGCAAAAGATTGAACATTATTATTGAGGATTATTTATCACTCATAGTAATTTATTCCAAATCACTCAAGCCAAAACATCATCACTTGCATTATTCTATGATTGTAAGAAAATCTGGACCACTTGTTAAGTTATGGTGTATGAGATCTGAACAGAAACATCGGGAATCAAAGATGACGTCAAATGTATCAGGCTCTTTTAAAAATATAATTCATGCCTACATTATCACTGAAATCCCAATTGAAAGTTTGTCATATGCTCATTAGTCTTCTACTTGATAAGTTGAAGTATGGTGATACATTTGAACCAGATGAGAATGATTCTGTTTTGTTGGCATCGATGTCAAATAAGAATGAAATTTTATGTGTTAGCAATGTGGATATAAAAGGTGCAACATATAAACCCTTTTCTGTAATTATAGTAGATGCCTTTATTTATGATCATCAAAAAAATATATTTGTTGAATAATTCTGTATATTTTTCAGGCCAATTTCTAGAAAGTATTAGTTTCAATAAACATTATCATGCCTATGAAGTTCAATTTATAGATATTGTTAGAATAGTCCATCATGAAAATCTGCATGATTTCTCTCCCTGTCTCTTCGAGAAGAAAAAAAAAAGATATATTTGTATCAGTCAGACATGCTCTCTGAACAAATATATTTCATAGAATTCATAAGAAGGTTTGACTGGACCACTAATCATTTGAAGTTTGATGACTCTGTTTGTCAAATGTTATTAGTATTGTACATTTAATAAAGTTATCTATATCGTCCAAAGAATACAAGATTTTCACGCATATTGAACCCATCCTTGAATCTTTTGTTGGAAGCGCTATATACAGGTTGAATAAAAAATTCCAGGGTTTCATTATTATTATCGATAAATACCACTTATACTTGAAATAGCCTACCTATATATTGTTACGTTAACTTTGAGGGAGTGGTCAATATATACGTGAAATCATACATATAAAAATCATATTTTATTGTTTTAGATATAGATAGAGATGAATAGTTAACTAGACCATTTTCTTGTTTTCTTTGAAGAGTTCTTGTTTTACTGTTTTGAACATATAAAGTCGGTATATTTATTTTCACAAATTCATTGCCTAAAATTCCTACTATCCTTATATTAAACATTGTTGATTTTTTGTTTCAATGTTTTGAACAAATATGTATATTCCAATATTTTCAGCTTTTTATTCCCTAAAACCTCTACTATTCTTATATTATTCATTATAATATAAGGGAAAGGGTGGATGATTCGGCCATGTGGAGGATTCGGCCATCGTCAATTACTCTTTTTGTGTTTGAAAATCCCGCCATATTTTGGTTATTCTGCGTGCCTCTGAGTGTTCTCTATGCACCATCATAATTTAGAGAGACATTGAACGTGTTGTGACTGAGTGGGATTCAATTGTGCATTTTATGACATTCATCGTAAGTTTTCATCCTGATTAATAATATCGTATATTGTGGCTCGATTTTTGTCAAAGACTCCTGGAGTTTTCTAGAAAGGCATGGTATTGTGTTACCAAATACATGGAAACATAACATAACCTATCATTCTGTTGACAAAATTTCTGCTTACAATATTAGTTGAAAAAGACAAGTGGGGAGCATTCAGCCACACCAATGTGAGGTACATTCGGCCGGCCGAATCTACCTCACTTTTTGGTGGCTGAATGCTCCACCCAAATTTTTATCATGGAAATAATGTTCTATCTCTGATTATCAGATGCCTAGATATTACAAAAGGAAAACTAACAGGAACATAGATGAACCATCAATGAAACACGCAATTTGTGCTTATTTGAGACAACAAGTAGGTCTCAATGAGTCTGCACGACGACATAATATCAAGCGTTCGACTCTGCAATCACGTTTGAAGATCTACCTTGCTAATAAAACTAGAGAAGAAGTATTAGCAAGTCTTGAAGATTCAGGCAACGAAAGTGACGAACAGGATAGGCCAAAAAAGTTTGGGAATAAATACGCAATCGCTAAGGTTTTCACAGTAGAGCAGGAAAGAGAACTCAGCAAGTATTTGAAACATGCTTCTGATCTGAACTATGGTTTGTCTTTCAAACAAGTTCAGAAACTAGCCTACCAATATGCTGTATCCTTACCTGATTGCAAAATTCCTCAACAATGGATTGACAAAAACCAAGCAGGTTAACTATACCTATTTTAGTTTACTATTTTCAATTATGTAATGTTCTGTTTTGTAGGTGACGAATGGAGGAAAGGGTTCATGAACAGAAATAAGGATCTCTCACTGAGAAAACCTGAGAGTACAAGTTTGTTCCGAGGAACAGGTTTCAATAAATCGAGAGTAGAAGAATTCTTCCAAAATTATACCTTAATATTGGAAAGATATGGGTTCATCGCACAGCAAATTTATAATCTGGATGAAACTGGAATATCAACGGTCATGAAACCTGTGAGAGTTGTGAGCAGTAAAGGAAAGAAACAAGTCGGCCAAGTGGCCAGTGGAGAACGTGGGGAACTCGTCACATTTGTGGGAATTATTAATGCGACTGGATCTATGATTTCCCCAATATTCGTTTATCCACGAATTCGAAACGTAGAGCAATACATGATAAATGGGCCAACCAGTAGCATAGCACTAGGCAATAAGTCAGGCTGGATGACAGCAGAATTATTCTTAGATGTTCTCAAACATATTGTTAACCATACCCGTTGTTCTCGAGAAAACAAAATCCTTTTAATAGTGGATAATCATGCATCCCACACTTCTGTTCCAGCGATATTGTTTTGCCGACAAAACGGATCGATTACAACCACTGGATGTAGGGATTTATAGTCCTTTCAAAACTAAACTGGCCATTGCATTCAATGACTGGATGCTTTGTCACCCAGGAAGGACTATTTCCATAAAAGAAATTTCTGAGCTTGCTAACATATCCTATTTGAACTCATTCACTCCGAGAAATATTATAGGTTCTTTCAAAAATACAGGCATTTGGCCGATGAACAGATTGATTTTCACAGATCAAGACTTTGCCCCCAGCTCTGTTACTGATAAACCACAGGAAACTACAGAGGATTGCGTCGATGTAGTGAGGGTTCCAGAACAAGTTCCTGATAATGAGAGAACTCCTGAGCGAATTGCTAATGATGGAAGTAATGTGAGAATAGAATCTCCTTTGAATAACTTCCAAAATCAGACTGATGCTGCATCACCATCTAATCCAACTGTACCGTCAACCTCAAAAGAACCTGGACCATCTACATTGAAGAAGAGTTTACTGAAAGAAATAAGGCCATTCCTCAAGATTGATTCATGTGAGAGGCCCAGAAAGACAAGGAGAGTTGAATCAAAATCCAGGATATACACTGACACTCCTGAACTGAATCTCAAACAGAATTTGGAAAAAGATAAGGAAAGAAAGGAGAATGTTTCCAAGAAAAAGGCTGTTGTTAAGAAAGTTTTTCAACAAGAATATTCATCTAGTGATCTTAGCGAATCTTCATTCGTCGCAGATGACACATCTGATGAGGAATCATTTGAATCTCTCAAGACTCCACAAAGAGATGCCAAATTCAATATCAATGATTTTGTTTTGGTAAAGTTCAGTACGAATAATAAGAGAGATGGCTATTGTTACTACATTGGGAAAATTATACTTGTCGAGGAGAAAGTGCTTACAGCCACTTTCTTGAGGAGAAGAGGACTCACCACTAATTTTCATTTTCGTACAATCCCCGACGTCAGTGTCATTCCAATCGAAGATGTCACAGCAAAGCTGTCGGCACCAAATAAAATTGGGAATGCCAGAGTTTTAGCATCCCTGCGGTTCAATTATAATTTTCAAGGTTATGACTTGCGATGAGAGTATATAACTGTATGAGACCTGTTCCTTCAATAAAATGTATCAAAATTTGTTGAAAACATTCAGCTAAACATTATTGTATACTTTTTCCTGAATGGCCGAAACCTCCACAGCCACTGGCCGATTCTACCTCAGTACTGAGGTAGATTCGGCCAATTGCAGACATAATTTCAAATGTCGCAAAAACAGACTAATTTATTTTTCATTCCAATTTCCATTATAATTCATATTATATACATGCTGAACATTCCTCATCCACATCTAGACGCCATCTATCGTATAAGAATTCAGAATAAACCTGCAAAACGTCATAACTAGCCGAATCCACCACCCTCTCCCTACAGGGTTCATAAAAATTACTGTAAAATTGTAGTGGCCGTTGAAATATTTTCTTCATTTGCAGCTTTTCACTTCTGGAGAATCTAATATTCGTATTTCACATCTGACAATCATTAATGTCAGTTAGATTCTCCATAGATGGAAGGTAGCACATGGACAGGAAATTCCAGAATTTGTTTACAATTATTTATAGAATTGATTATTATTGAAATGAAAACGAAATTTAGTTTAGTACTCTTCACTAAAATCAAATCATGTAGCATTTGTTACTATAATAATATAGTATTTCTCACTAAAACAAGATAGAATTTTTCACTATAATAATGTGAAATATGTCACTACCATGATGTAGACTTTTTCATCAAAATGATATAGAATTTTTCACCATAATAATATAGAATCTTACAC